GCTCCGTTCCCATTCCCACGTTCCCATTCCCTAAATGTAAATGGGAATGGGAAAAGGGAAAAACAGGGAAAAATGTCGTTCCCGCAGGACACTAACTTACACCCTTTTCATCATTATACCTAAAACTTCTTTTACTTCTGATTTAGTGTCACCACCTAAACCTTCATCATCAATATCATCAAAACTTTAAGCTGATCTTCGTTCATTAACAATACATTCTTTAACTAAAACAGAAAATACAACATATTTATCTACTTTAACAACAATGAATCAATCAATTTCATTTACAACTGGAACATTTTCTTCAATAACAACGGATAAATCATCTTGTTTATCATCAGCAAATCAAGGACCTTTAAATATAGATCAACCACAAAAATTAGGTTAATTATCAATTGAATATTTTCTATCTATTTTTTTTTCTTTATTTTATCATCAACAATTAAAACCGATTGAAGTTTTACATATACAAATTTTGATCAATTTCTTCATCAAATGACTTTTCAAGATTATTATCTTCTTTTAAATGAACAAATAATAAAGATTCTGAATTTTGTCCTGATTCAAATGCACATGATCATATAAAGCATAGACGTTGTTTGATTGAAATTTCATTGTGTCAATAGCATATGTAGATCATTTATATATCGATGAATAAATATATCTGTTATTAAATACTAATTACGATTAGTTAAAGAGAAATTTAAAAGAGATAATACTGATGGAACGAATATGTTCCCAGTTGTGGTGCTTCCACGCAATGGATTTAATACAAATTTTAATTTATGAAAATAAACTACATAAAAAATAATATCTCTTTCACGGTTTTAATGCAATTTTCTTCATGTTAAATATTCTCTAGCGAAATATAATGTATGTATGCTATCATTGTGATCCTGTTCGAAGACAAACAAAAATATGAATTTTATTTTAATATACAATGTATATAATAAAGAGTGAAATGAAATTATTGATAAGATAAGACATTTAGTTTATATTAACAAAGAAATACAGATAAGAGAACAGTATAATTTTATATTTACTAGTAAAATGTTTATATTTAGATGTGCAAATAGTTAGCCAACCACATGCACGCGTGTGTACATAACTGACTAACCATGAACACGTGTGCATAAACACTTTCTTAAATTTATATCTAAAAAGAGTAGATACATACATTATTCATTTCTTCTATAGTCTTCTATTCAAAGACATGCCAATGGCAAATAACAAAACACAATGTTTCACATGTAATAAAGAAAAAATTACATATTCTTGTAAAGGATGTTCAAAAGAATTTTGCTTTATGGATTTAGCAGAACATCACAAAAGATTAAATGAAGAATTACATAATATCATTGATGATTATAATGCATTTAAAGAAAGAATTAATCAACAAAAACAAAATCCACAAAATCATGCATTAATAAATCAAATTGACCAATGGGAAATAGATTCAATTGAAATAATTCAACAAAAAGCGAAAGAGTGTAGAGAAATTCTCATTAAATTATCTCAAACATGTATTAATGATATTGAGAAGAAATTCAATGATTTAACGGAACAAATACAACAACTTCAGAAAGAAAATGATTTTAATGAAATTAATTTCAATTATTTAACAAATCAATTAATAGAAATTACAGAAGAATTAAATAATCCGTCAAATATTTCTATTCAACGAGAATCACAATCATTTATGAAGGAGATTTCAATTGTTTTATCAAAAAGTAAGTTTTCAACAAATAATCTCTAAAAGAAATATATTAATTTTCGACGAAAGTATATTGAAAAACTGTAAAACAATAAGAGCTAGGAATGAAGAAAAGAAAACATATTGAGAATACTATTGATTTGTTTAATCAGTAATATTAAAATTGATATAAATAGAAAATTTAATTTATTTATATATAAAATAAAAGAATGATAGGAGATGAAATAATATTAAATTAAAAATGAAGTTTTCTTCCATTTCAAACAAAAAAATTTCGAATTTGTCATATAGCTATAATAATAATTTATCATTTGATTTCTTTATTATTTTTATCGAATAAATTGTTACAAAATAAATTTATCCTATAGAGTTTATGATAGTTACACTGTAGAAAATAGATAAATGAGATATTATAAAAGACTTTGTGATTAAAGGTCTTTTGATAAGACTTTGTTTCTATTTTCCAGATATAAAACTTCAAATGATTTGTTTTTTTAATAAAATTCTTTTCAAAATTCAACTATTAACAAAAAAACAAAATCAAAGTTTCATCGGAAACTAATCTTTTTTTTTTTTTCTTCAATAAACAACAAAATTTTCTTCTTCTTTTCATCAAAATCTTTTATTTTCATTTTTTTCTAGAATCAAAATTCAATAAATGGAAACAAAATGGCATTACTGTAGCTGGTGGAAATGGAGAAGGAAAAGAATTAAATCAAGTCAATCGCCCTACAGGAATCCTTATTGACAAAAAGAAAAATATTTTCATCGCTGATTCTTATAATCATCGTGTTGTTGAATGGAAATATAATTCAAAGGAAGGAAAAATTGTTGCTGGTGGAAATGGGGAAGGACATCGAATAAATCAATTGAACTACCCAACAGATGTGATTGTTGATCAACAAAATCAGGCGGTCATCATTGCTGATTATAATAACAGACGAGTGATCCAATGGTTGAATCAAAATCAACAAATTCTCATCGATAATATTGACTGTTATGGCCTAGCAATGGATAAAAATGAATTTCTTTATATTTCTGATTATCAGATGGATGAAGTGAGACGGTGGAAAATGGGTGAATACAACAACGAAGGAATTTTAGTTGCAGGTGGAAATGGTGAAGGACAGAAACTCAATCATCCTACTTTTATGTTTGTTGATGAAGACCAATCGATTTATGTATCAGATCAGTTCAATCATCGTGTAATGAAATGGAAAAAAGGTGCAAAAGAAGGAACAATTGTTGCTGGAGGAAATGGTCAAGGAAGAAATCTCAATCAATTGTCTTATCCTCGAGGAGTAATTGTTGATCATTTGGGTCACATCTATGTGGCAGATAGTCAGAATCATCGAATAATGCGCTGGTGTGATGGAGAAGAAGAAGGTGAAATTGTTGTTGGTGGAAATGGAAAAGGAAGTCAATCAAATCAACTGAATAATCCTTATGGTTTATCGTTTGATAACGAGGGCAATCTTTATGTTGTTGATGGCTGGAATCATCGAATTCAAAAATTCGATATAGTTTTGTAACTGATGTTTTAATTTTGTAGACAAGAAAACAAAATTTTTGTTAAAATAAAAAATGACGAAATAAAAACAAAAAAAACTTAAAGTTATATTATTGAAAAAAGTCGAATAAATTTTGAAAAAAAAA